GGTACAGTATCATTCTGAGGCCAAGGAACAGCCTATTAGCTCTGCATGCCATTAATTTTCATGAATAGTTCAATCTGATGCTCACAGGAGCTGTTGGGCATCTTTCCATTTTGTCTCGCAGGACCTGGATGAGGGCTTATTTATCATTTTACTTCATACCTTACCTTTAAGCCCTTTAAGCAGCTCAGTGCAGCTGTGCAGGTTTCCAGCCCTGTACCAGGCTCAGTGCCCAGCAGCAGGCAGGATGCTGTCTGCAGCTCGGAGTGATGGCATGTCACAGTCAAAGCCATTCAGGGAGAATTAAACTTCAGGCTTGTTTGACTAAACTTCTGAATTCACCACAGTTCTCCTGTGTTGCCAGCCTGAAGAAACAGCCCAGCAGGTTCTTGACTCATATGCCAAAATGCCTCCTTCATCCTTCCTGGAACTGGAAATGATTACTAATAGGTATTCTTGCTGAAATGATTTAGCATAACGTGCTGAATGAGATCACTAAGTCAAAGTATCTTTTCCTAAGTGAGTCTCTCACTGCTTGCCTGAATGCCAGAGGGGAAGGAGGATAGCATGAAGCAAATTCTTTTGCTGGCTTTTTACAAAATTTCATAAATTACTGAAGAAGCCACAGTAGGAAGTTTCACTCAGGTTCATTAGAAGAGATCCATGACGCAGGTCTGGCAGGCAGAGGAGGAGGGAGACACAGGGGTTTGGGTTAACCTCTCTCTTTCACACTTTCCCCTTTTTCAGTGCTCTCCGGTCTAGACTGGGAACTGCAGACAGGCAGTGAAACAAGGAGGGCACAAGAGTAAGGCTGGTGAGTGGCTGGGCACTCTTTGCCCTGCGTGCACAGCCCTGGGTGTGCATTGCTGTGCAGCTGCATCTGTTACAGGAGGCTTCAGGCACCAAGTGGAACACAGAATCTGGGGAGGAACAGGGGTGTGCACCACAAAACTCACCTCAGCATGCCAGGGATGTTCAGGGTTTCACTGAGATGCCAGGCTGCCCTTACCCATCCAAGTCTGTCAGCCTCAAAATTAACTGACTGAGGTCAGCACTCATAACAGGAGTGCAGAGTTTTGATTGAGTCTTCCTTTCTGAGAGAGCCCCATTGTCTCTGGCCCAGTGCAGCTATTACCTGCCAGCCTAAAGGATGATGAATGTTATTTATATTGCAGTAATGGCTAACCACTCAGTGGAGACCAGGGACAGGCTGTGCTATGGACTTTTCAAACACCCACTGAATGAGGGCTGCCCGCAGATGCCTGGAAGTGCCAAGGCTTTTCCGGATAATGTTCTTGAATGTCTTGGACACGATGATCTCCATCAACTGCAGTACTTGTGCTGACTGCAACAACACTGGGGGCTGTTCTACACTAAAAATGTTCTTTCATACCAAATTTTTATCAGTCACTGTGACATGCCCTTATAATAGTAAAGAACTCATCTACTTCAAAGCAAGCAACTACTTCATAAGAGGCTTTTAAGTTCCTTGATTAATAAATGTAAAATATAATCTCTTTCAAACCAAACAGAAAATACAGAGGTATAAAGAGTTATTCTAATGGAAGGTTTTCCTAATATTTAGCTGCTATTGTTCTGCTGTCCAAGAAATAAAGAATCAATGAATAGGAACTATTCAAGATGAAGATGAGAAAAGTAATCTAGCAATAGTAAAAGATGAAGGGCCTGATCCTATAAAAAATCCTGTAAGACCAATTTAACTTTGGCATGTGCACACTTGCAGGATTAGGCTTCAAATAATTGCAGAGAAATGTAAGAACTGATAAACTATAGCTTTAGCCTTCCACTACAGTGAGCCCAGAGAGTGGATAACTAACACTTCCCAGGAAATATCCTTCCAAAAAATAGCCCTGCAAAGATGCAGAGGAAATACATCTAAAATATGAAATGCAGATTTTTTTTACTATTAGTGATTCTCTTTGTATCTTGGAAAAATCATACAGTGACTTCTTTCATATGCACTGAGGAAAAAAACCCTAAAATATTAAGTGACACATTCTACCAAGGAATGCCTTAGAGAAGGTGCTGTGAAATAAGTGTCAGACCCTGTTTTATTCCTTCTACAATTAATTTTCCACTGCCACAGTTCTAAAAATATATCCAGAAATCAGCAGACATTTGTGTCCTTCAGATACCTGATTAAAATACAAGTGCTAAGAAACACCTTACCTTTAATTATACTCTTTACACTTAAAAACTGCTTTAGACAGGGCTGTGTCAGAGCATCAGAGCCAAAAGCCTGAAGATCTCAGAGCCCAGTAAACAGCCTAAGCAGGGAACAACCTGATATGCTTTCTTCTGCCTTTTCCATCAGATGAGTGCTCACTCCAAAACTGAATGGGAGAAATTAAGCACACAGTGAGAGACTGCAAGTTCTTTCTGGCTGTCTCAATTCTAGAAGGCTCCTAAGAGGAGTGATGTCTCAGCATCTGGGCATTCCTTTCACTGTCAGACTAAGAGCAGTGGGATTTATCAGCAATCTGCTGAGCATATACAGATGACAACTGCAGAGCTTGGAGAGCTCAAAGGCACTTACAGATAGAAAGGGGTTAGCAAAAGACATGTTGAGCCAGAGCTGAGAGCGGGAGCCTATGAAAATTGCTCCCAATTGCTGTTAAACCTTTAGCTGTGGTAGCTAAACCAGGCAGTGCAATATGCACAATTTATCCTCGGTGTGCTTTACAATTGCACAGACTGAGGAAGGCTGATCAGCCTCCATGTCACATTTTACAAGGAAAAGGCTGTTGGGATGATCTTGGAAGGTGGTCTTTGCTGCCTAAAGTCCATCTATCTTTGCCTACAACTCCATCTATCACTCAAACACATGGAAATGAAGTAATTTACGAACTGGTTTTGGATTTTTAAAGTACAAATTTCATGAAAAATAGATTTAAAGCTCTCTCCAGTACCCACATCTCACCTAATGGTACTTTATCCCTTGTTGATTTCCAGCCTGTTGCCCCACCATGATCTACATATCTTCCTAAATCTTTTAAAGTATCTTCTTGTCAAAAGGATATGACTTGCTGACATCACACAGAGATGCATTATATCAAAATGTTTTTGCTGTACTGACATAAGCTCCAAATTATTTCCAAAGTCAGCTGTATTTTCAATAATTTGTCCCTTTTTCATTTTTCAAAATAGCTTTATTCACCTGTGATAGCAAATTGCTTAAGTCCCTCCATCCTCAATCCAGACCGTGATAGAACTCGGCACCAAACTTTTTATAGCAGCAAATGTGTTTTTGTTTCCCTGGCATCCTGAAAAAAATTAAATCTTTCTTCAGCTACAGTCTGCACAAAAGCATGCTAGCTCTGTGGTGTTCAAGAATAGCTAGTTAGACTCTGAGGCTATACATTCTTCTGCTAAAAGATACATTATCACATCTATGTCTAAATATTTATGGTTCCTGTTTGCTAAAAGCAACACCTACAATTTCTGTAATTGGAAATGACAAAATAAAAAAGAAATTCTTCCCCAATTTGCCACCCTTTTGCATCTAACAACACTAAATATATAGTCCAGTCCATTAGAATTTTGCCTGTTTCTGTTTAGCTATAACAAAGGCGAAATAATTGTGTTTAAAAAGAAGCAAATGGAATTCTAAATATGACAGAAATGGAAAGAGATTTGATGGGTTGATGCAGCATTTGAAACCCCTGAACACATGTGAAAAGGAACAGATCATAGAACCATACAACCATTTAGGTGGAAAAACAAGGGTAACGTCGCTGAATCCAGCCATCAACCCAGCTCTACCAAGCCCACCAGTTACCCACGTTCCTGAGGGCCCCATCTACACATCTTTTAAATACCTCAGGGATGGTGACTCCACCACTTCGCTGAACAGCCTCTTCCAGTGCCTGACAAGCCTTTAACCCTATTAACTTTTGTCTCATTCAACTGCTTTCAACCACCACACCATCAAAGATTGCCATAATTTACTTCCATTGGATCTCCTTGCTCAGCAGTCTCATTAAGCTTTTACCCTTACTAGTGGAGTTTTCAGGCACTACATTTCATATAACTTGTCAGTAACATGCTTTTTTCTCCATTTTTGCATATTTAAGTAATTGAGAAACTTTAAAACACTCCACCATTTTTTGGTGAGTGGAGACTTGTCGTCATGTAGATATCACAAAGGAAAAAATACAAAAGCAGAAAATGTCATGATGTCTCTTTCAAGCAGATGGTATATTGCAGTAGCACTGAACAAGTTTATATTAATTACTTTCAGAAAGAGAAGAAGATGTCATATTTCAGATAGAGGATCCTACCAAACCCACGAAGAACAAGCCATAAATTTAACAATAGTGAGATTTTTTCATAGAATCATTATGACAGCTGTCAAACTGGGGAAAACTTTTTGTTAATGCCAGTACAATTGTTCATTTAAACAAAAGCCAGTGATTCAGTCACACTGGAACAGCTCATGAGCTGAGCTCTGCTGCACAATCTGCACACATGCTGATATTCCATCTATATGCAGAGTTGCTCTTTAATTTCCATCTTTGGGGCTACAATGTGATTTGTCCAGAGCTGAGCAGAGCCCTACAAAAATCAGGCCAGAAGGCAATTTGTGATTGAGCTGTAACAAGCTGCCTGTTTTTTCTCTGCTTGGAAGGGGGAGGTTTGGCACCCCAGGCGAGCAGCTGGCAGAGGACACCCTCCCTGCATGCCAGGCTGACCATGTGGTCACCCTTTTTCCCTGTGCCCTCAAAATAAGAGACCACAATTATTTGTAGAGATGCACCTTGTGTGCAGTGAAAGACTGAAGTACCAAAGGTGTCAACTGTATCCTCCCTCAGAGAGGGAGCTCACAAGGAAATCCCAGTATAGATCTTGGTGCTGTCACAGGATCTTTGCAAGAAATAAAAATGCAGAGATCCCATCCCTCCACCCATGGGAGAGCCTGGGCCATTAAAGCAATTTACTAACAGCAAAACCAGCTCTGAAGAAAGATGGAGAGTAACTCTTACCTCCTCGTAGACATCATCATTCCTGCTGAAGTCTCCAGCCCTCCTTGGCAGCACATGGACGTGAACATGCTGAAAATGTGAAACAAAATAATGATTATCAAGTTCATGACTTTCTTTTCTGAACTGTCAGCATTATTCTCAACACACACAAGTAACCGTGCACAGGCTCCCACAGCATTATATTCAGAGGAAAATACATTAACCTGTTCCATAACTGTATCTCAGCTCTTTGGAGAATATAAAAGATGAAAAACATGAGAGAGCAGCCCTGGTGTATTATATGAGCTTCAGAGTGAAATGCCTGGAAGTTTAGGGGCTCTATGGAATTATTCATAGTTGTCAGTCAGAGGCATATTTAGCCACAGCTTTGAAATAACAACGTCCCTTGAAGCTGAGCATTGTGGCTTTGGAATAGATGGGAAGAAGAAGGTGCTGGAGATGGAGAGCTCGTGTGGGCAGCCTGGGCTCAGGGCTCCCTGTTTGGGGACAAAGCAGCTGCTGCCACACCATGGACAGCATGTGGGCAGAAGAGCTGACAGAGAGGACAGTGCCTCTCACAAGGTAAAAAAGACTTTAAAAAGACATTAAAATGCTTCCTTTCCTCCCCGGAGGCTGTAGCCTAAATACAACAAACTCAAACCTGTGGGCACAAGGCTCATGTTGGGGACACACCAGCAGGGACAGAGTGCCAGGTGGCCCAAAACCTGTGAGGCACAAGGATTATGAGACCAGTTTGGCAGAGCCTGAAGTGTGTCCCTCTCCTGGCACAGGGCCACGGCCCACGGGGTAGCAGGGCTGAGAACTGAGCTGCACAGGCAGCTTCGGGTCACCCAGTTTGGGGAGGAGGTGAATGGTGATGTGTTTTTGTCAAAAGTGCTGATGAGATCTGGGGAATACAAACAAAATTATAGGCACAACACAAATATATGACTTGGCACCTTAGTGTTGTGTTATTACTATTACCTTTTTTTTTTTTTTTTTCTGACACTCTGTTCACACCATAAAGGAAGGTCCTCAAGACCCAAACTCTACCTTCTGCAGTAAGTTCAACTACTAGCAACATTGTAATGCATTCTTTTTTTCTTTTTCCCTTTGTCTTTCACTCTTGAGTAAAGAAACAAAAACAACTGAGAATAATTCTTCAGGGAAAAAAACCCAACACCTCAGTGAGGAGAGGCTGCAAATAATCCAAGTGATAGATCACATTTATGCATCTTCAGATCTTTTTAGATGGTGCCTAAATCCTTTAAAAAAATAAATTACTGCATCACAAACAGCACCAAATCGTTTGCATAGAATTTAGATAGCTTGCACCTGATTCAATTGATGAGGTAGAAATCAGCTGAAACTCCTGCACCTCATGGAAACATTCTCAAAACATGGCTTAAGTCTATAATGAAATATGAAATCAAAAAAGGTTTTCTTAGGCTATTTGTAACAGAATTCAAACACACCTATATTGTGTTAGCTTCTATCCATAATACCATTTGCTCAGTGAATAAAATGAAAACACAAGGATGTTTCAGTTAATGAAATATTCCAAATACCACACTATTTTTTTTTCTCAGCTTTACCCTAGAGAAACTGAATATGTGATTTCTTATTCTTATCATTATCCACAGCTTTCAGTGTATTCAGACTAGAGATGAGGGTGAATCTTGAGGGTCAGAAACTGTGTTTTTGAGTAATATATCAGTGATAGTGTTCTGATAGTGTATTATACTAATATATCATAAGAGCAAAAGTGCTCCTGTGATGTATTAGTGCAATGTATCATCTGAACATCACTGCTCGTATGATGTATTGCTCAAAATCACAAAGCAACTTTAAAGACAGTCTTCAGTAGCCCTAGGCCTGAAATTTCGCTTTTGGACAGACCTTCAAGAAAAATAAAAGTGTAGATTAAAGTTTGCAGGGATACTGTAAAATTTCACTACTGTCTCACATCTGTTGTTCTCATTAGATTTTAAATTTATTCATATGAATAGAGCCAGTTCATCTGCCAGTCAGTTTCCTTCTCTTCTGCTACAAGGAATGATAGTTTTGCTACAAGTATCAATTTGTAGGAATTTCTCTTGACGATATATATAAAACCTAACATCAGCTATCAACAACCATATTCCCCAGAAGTTTAGCCACCTTTAAGCATACTTTTTATCTCTGGTGCAGAATGCTGCAGGACACACACATGAGAAGATCTGTGTATACCCGTGGCAGACGATTTGGAGTATCAGAAAAAACCTAGGGATGAGTCCAAAGCTCAGTGCAGAGATGCTGCACTGCAGATGCACAGACCAGCACAGCAGGTAATGAATGAGCCTAATGTGATCTTCTACCCAAAATGGGCTCTTATGATCAGTGTGGAAAAAAAAAAAAAGAATAAAAAGTGTTTATGACAGCATATGGGCCACTTGGCATCGGTGGGGATGTTCTCAGGGGTTAGTCACCTTTACTACATGCATTATGTTCTCACACGCTGCCAGGCTGCATAGCAGAATCCATCAGCTGTATCACAAAACAAATGAATATTCCCAAGGTTTGCAGTAACAACAATCAATTTAAAAGAGAGTAATTTCTTCCAGTCATCCGTTTTTGGTTTGGTTTTTTTTGTTGTTATTGTTTTTTTATATAATTTTGTGTATGGGAAAGAAATAAATATCTGGATTCTCTCCACTGTATAACAGAAACAAACACGTTCAGCAGTATTGTCTCACATATTTCCCTTCTCTTCAGTTTTACCAAGAAATACAAGCAGCACAGAGCTGTGGCTACCACGCAGTCAGAAACACTGAACAGGGAGATTCCACACCTTCTCCAATCTGCCTTTCAGCTTCTGCCCTTCTCAACTCAGACTGGCTGATACTTAGATTCATCAGGAGATCTTTAATTGATAATTTTTTACTCCTTAGTACTATTTGTTACTGCTATAGCCTCAATGCACCAAGGCACCTAAGCACCAGCTCCATTTCCAACCTGTGAATTGGTTCAGTGAGAATTTTCACATGCCAGGTGTTTTGTTTATGTTTTGCATCTACTACTGGCTACAGAGAGGTCTCCCTAAATGGCAGTAGCAAAACTAACTTCAAGGTGCCCCCAAATTAAAGTTGTTTCCTTTCATTTGTTTTCCAAGCAAAACAAAAACCCACATATCTAAAAAAACCCATTTGCAATTGACTGAAATACATCAGATGCAAACAAAACACTGGGATGCTTCCTTTTTTTTTAACCAAACAAATAGATTTAGCAAATCTTCTATCAAAATACTGCTTGAACAGAACATCTAAACATTTACCAAAATTGTCAAAATAAAGCATTTTAATTTTTTTTCTCCAGTTATTGTAGGGATCCTCATGCCTGGTGGGTGGCAGACAGCCCCATCACATTCCAGCAGGCTGTAATCAGTCACTGTTGATGGTATTTCATTTTTTTCCTAAAAAAAATTGCTTTCCCCTCATTTTGCATGGTTTTGATTAATAAGCAAGGAAAGCAACACACAACAGCCAAGCCATTTACACTAATGGACCAATCAATATCACCCACATCAGGGCACAAAAATGCAGGCACACACCTGCATTGCTTAGGCTCATCCCTGCTCATCAGGCACTGATGGAGCAAGCAGGACACTGCCACACTGGGTGTGACAACAGTGACAATGTGATAATGCAGCAGAAGTCCCCAGGTGGGGGGCACTGTGTGAGTTAAAGATGCCTGAGCCTCGCTCGTTGCTTCTGAAACTGGGGGCAAGATTTCCAGTCAGGGATATTTAGAGTAGCAGTAGCTGGAAGGAGGCTGTGGAAGCTGGATTTTATAGGACCTTCAAAATTAAAATTATTAGACTGACAGTTTTCTAGGGTAGGGACTGCAGCTCCCCCTGCTTTGCAATGTAAACAAAATCTCAGTTTGAGAAACCTCTAATGGTGAGAGTTATCCGGTGATGCAGAACCACTTGTAAGAGAAGTTTCTTCAAGACCTTTATACCCAGAATGACAAGAGCATTAGAAAATGCACTGCAAGGAACAGATCTGTAGTGCCTTGGGGAACTAATGAGCCAGAGCCAGGGTGTGATGCCTCTGGCCTCCCACTGCAGCAAGAGGATGCTCTGATGAGCTCCATGGCATTCCAGTCAGGACTGTGGGAACACAGGGCTGCTCATGGGCACTCTGAAGCACACTCGTGCCACCACTGCCAGAATCTGTCCGCATCACAGGCATTTGTGAGATTACACCACTAAAGCTGCTCTCCAGTAAACCAGGGCTGCAAAATGCCCAGAAAGTCTCAGCCAAAAGACCTGGAGCTTGTGTTGCTGCAGAAACAAGCATTCAGATCAGGTGAGTTTTACTTCAGCACTCAAGGCCATGCAGAAAGCAATGTTCCTGGTTACGGCTGGTTTTATATACTGAATTATGGTCAAATAACCAATGTGTCACCACTGCACTGGATTTCAAGTGAAAATACTGGACAAAAATAGACACCAAAACAGATTTCCCAAGCAGACCAGAACAGTGAAGAGCAGATGACCCTGCCACACACCACTGGGGAGGACATGGGCATTGCCTACAATAATTCATGGGCATTATGTTGTGTTCACTCAGCTGCTGTGCTGGTTAGGAGGGCAACAGAGCTCAGCTTCCAGTTGAAAGGGAGATAATAGTCTGTACATGAGCTGCTCAACATCCAGGGTCTATTGGCAAAAAATGTTCTTATAGCATGAATACAGAAAAGCTGGCAAAGGGTCATACAACCCTGAGGATGGGGAGCTGCCACAACGTTGGCAGAGGAAGGGCTGTTCTCCCTACATCTGCAAAAGCAGAACATGGCTGACCTGTGCCTTCATGCAGCAAAACCAGCTGCCTTTCAGCAGCTTCATCCTTCCCTTTGTTCCTTTTCATTTATTCTCCAGTCAAAGCTCGGCAGCTGTGGGTTTCCATGGTGTCATGGTGCAGGACAGGAAAAGCTGTGACCTGCTGTGGTTGTGGCCAGGCAGGAGGAAGGGCTGGAAGTGAATCAACAGCTCCCAGCAGCAAGACCAGCTGGCCAGGAGACACTCACCAGCCAGTTCACTGGGAAAA